GGAGAGGCCACAGCAGTGAGAGGCCCACATAACGCAAAAAAAAAAAGTACATTCTATAAATGTACATTTATAGTTCTTAAAGCATTTTTAGTTTTATGATTAACAGATTTTTTTTTCCACATGGATCAATTATCATACCCAATCAGTTCAGTAAATTATTCTACTGGGGCTTCCCTGGTGGCACAGTGGTTGAGAGTCCGCCTGCCGATGCAGGGGACACGGGTTCGTGCCCCGGTCTGGGAAGATCCCACATGCCACGGAGCGGCTGGGCCCGTGAGCCATGGCCGCTGAGCCTGCATGTCCGGAGCCTGTGCTCCGCAGCGGGAGAGGCCACAGCAGTGAGAGGCCTGCGTACAGCAAAAAATAAATAAATAAAAATAAATTATTCTACTGCATTTATTTACTTCTACTTTTATTTCACAAAGTATTCAGGTAGTTTACAAGGAAATAAACCCTAGTAAGATAAATAAATTTAAAATAAGAAAATTGAAACAATAGGTAAATAGAGTAGAAAAGAAAGATGCAGCCAAGTAATATTAAAAAATGAATGTCAGCCCGGAGATGGAAACAACCTAAGTGCCCATCATCGGATGAAAGGATAAAGAAGATGTGGTACATATATACAGTGGAATATTACTCAGCCATAAAAAGAAACGAAATTGAGCTATTTGTAATGAGGTGGATAGACCCAGAGTCTGTCATACAGAGTGAAGTAAGTCAGAAAGAGAAAGACAAATACCGTATGCTAACACATATATATGGAATTTAAGGGAAAAAAAATGTCATGAAGAACCTAGGGGTAAGACAGGAATAAAGACACAGACCTACTGGAGAACGGACTTGAGGATATGGGGAGGGGGAAGGGTGAGCTGTGACAAAGCGAGAGAGAGGCATGGACATATACACACTACCAAACGTAAGGTAGATAGCTAGTGGGAAGCAGCCGCATAGCACAGGGAGATCAGCTCGGTGCTTTGTGACCACCTGGAGGGGTGGGATAGGGAGGGTGGGAGGGAGGGAGATGCAAGAGGGAAGAGATATGGGAACATATGTATATGTATAACTGATTCACTTTGTTATAAAGCAGAAACTAACACACCATTGTAGAGCAATTATACCCCAATAAAGATGTTAAAAAAAAAAAATGAATGTCATGTTTCCGTTACACTTTGCTAGAGACAAATCTGTCTCTAAGTTTCCTAGGAATCAATATAACAATGCAAACACAATCAGTTATGATATTCAAATTATCCAGGAGCTTAAAAACAAACTTGATACTTAGAAAAAAACGTAATTATCTATAACACAGAAAAATTCTCTAGTAGATAATCAGAGAGGTTATTTATAAGACAATAACTGAAATTAGCAGCAAACCCTTATAGTAAAAACAGTTCAGAAGTCCCACAGGACTGTGTTTTGATGAAATATATAATATGAAACATATACACATATAAATGAATGTAAGATATGTTGATGTGTTAATATATTTTTAAATGAATGACATGATGTCAAAATACAGTTAAGTAAAAACAATTGTAAGGAGAGCAATTATTCTATGATCCAGTTTCCCCATACTCTGACAATAATGCATTAATCCAGGATTAGACTTCAGAGTGATTTAAAGCAGTGGCTCTTAAAATGTTCTGGGGTAACACACCACTTCGAAACTGATGAGAATCTGACCAACTCCCCCAGACCTTAAATAGAATTTCTGGGAAATTTAAGTACTTCGCAAAATCTAACCATGAATGCCTTGAGTATATAACTCAAGGTTAAAACTCTTGTAGTCATTGTGATTATAGGTCCTTCATACAGTACTTGAAAACCATTTTCTCTTAGCATTTTGAAAGGTGTTGAGCTTATTTAAGTGCATTCAAGATTACTCCTCTTGCCAAGTACCTGGAGTGAAGCTAATTTAAACTGTAAGTTAAATGTGGAACCATATGCTTTTAATGATCTATTGAGCTAAGGTAGGATTCACTTCCTTTTCTAAAAGCTGAGCTTAATAAAGACACAAGCCTCAGCACATCACTCCAGTTGGAAGCTGAGGGAGTACTTGTCAACAGGGCCAATATTTTTCTTGGAAAGCAATTTGGGTACACTCTCAATATGAGATAAACAACCAGAAATTCCATGCCATAAAGTATGGCTGAAAAATTTTTAGCCTATAAAAATATGTAAGTACTTTATTAAATAAATCCAACTTAGTAAAGCATCCAGTAAAGTACACCCTGTTTTTAAGCAATATAAATTCTGAAATATGTAACAGATTGAATTACTGGTCTCAAGTCTTTATTCCTCTGTGGTAATAATACAACCACACCCTTGCCATTGCCTCACTGTAGGCAAAGTGCATATCCCTGCCCCATAACTTTGAGCTTAGTTATGTGACTTGCTTTAATGACAGTAGGTAAGCAGATATGACATGAGCAAAGGCTTTAAATGTGTGTAACTGGGCTTACTCTCCTGTGCTCCTGCCTTTTGCCAAAAGAATATACCTCAGTCAGCTACTGGCTCAAGAAAAAGGAGAAACAAATGGAGCAGATCTGGACCCAAAAAACAGTCTGGAACCAAGCCCAGGCTCAGCCTTGATCAACTGAACCCCAACCCTGTATGTAAGTGAGAAATAAAGGTTTAGGTTTATATGGGTTTGGGGATGATTTCTTATGAAGCTTTACTGTGGCAATTACTGACAGACAGTAAATACACGCTGTAAGATGTAAAACATAAATATCAATAACTGAATTGCTATATGGACTATTAACTATAAATCACTGGGGCTTACATATTAAGAGAATTTTTTTTTCCTTGAGGGAAGGTAATAACATACCAAAATAACAGTTCTCATCCACTTTGACTATATTTTACTAACAGATATATTTCAGACTGTTTTTCCATCTATAAGATTATGTTCAAATAGCTCAGGTGTGTACCAAAAGCAGGGAGGCAAGTCCGGTTAAGTCCTGATGGGGATGAGTATTTTTAACCCTGAAATTATTTAGAATTGCTGGTGCATGGTGATAAAAAGAAGATCGAGGTGTAGTTGGTTTTCTTATTGTTTTAAAAATCTCTACATATAATATATCTCTTTATTGACTGCTCTTGAGACACACTGCTCCCTCTACCTTCTCAACCCCTCCCCACTGTGAGCCACTAAAACGACTCATCATTATTAGGGCACCAAATTCCAAAAATGGAATTTTCAAAAATAACTTACACAAAATACCTAAGTTACATATATTAAGTGCAGGTAGTACCAGAAGTTCATTCAGTTACTTTATAAATATTAAAAGCTTTATAAAAAGTTAATCACAATGAAAAAATTAAGGTCTTTGAATTATAACCAAATTGGCATCATAAAAAAATTATCTCAAATGTAAAATCATCCAACTAAGATGGTGCTTAAGTCACTCTATAAATATATTAAAATCATACAAACCATTTAGCTCCAAGTTCCATTTTCAATATATTCTACTAAATTTCTTTCTTCATTACTCTGGTTTTAAACATGTAGATAACCATGTCAGCAACGCTGAGGGCCAGTGAAAAATAAGAGCACTAGCGCTGCTGGATTATCTTTTAGTCAAGTAATATATAGGTAACAAAGATTGTAAAAATAAGGCAAATCTCATTTTCAATTTTCTAAGTAATTCAGTAGGATAAAGTTTTTACTTTTTAAATTAAGTTTTATTTTTTAATCTTAACTTTTTCTTCCAGTTTTATTTATATAATTGACATATACAGCACTGTATAAGTTTAAGATGTACAACATAATGATATGACTTACATACATCATGAAATAATTACATTAAGTTTAGTGAATATCCATCACCTCATATAGATTAAAAAGGAAAAGAAAAAATTTTTTTCCTTATGATGAGAACTCTTAGGATTTACTCATCTTAACAACTTTCATACATACATACAGCACTGTTAGTTGTATTAATCATGTTGTACATTATAGCCCTACTTCTTATGTATCTTATAACTGGAATTTTGTACTTTTTGACCACCTTCATCCAAATCCCCCCCCCCGCCTCTGGTGACCACAAATCTGATCTCTTTTTCTATACGTTTGTTAGCTTTTTGAAGTATAATCGACTACAACTCTATGATAGCTCCTGGTACACAACGTAGTGATTTGATATTTCTATACATTGCAAAATGATCACCGTAAGTCTAGTTACCAAAGATATTGTATTATTATTGACTATATTCCTCATGTTGTACACTGTATTCCTGTGACTCATTTCTTTTTTAACTGGAAATTTGTACCTCAATTTTCCTCACCTATTTCACTCATCCCCACCATCCCCTTCCTTGTTTGTTGTATCTATGACTCTCTTTCTGTTTTGTTATGTTTGCTCATTTGTTTTTAGATTCCACATATAAGTGAAATTATACAGTATTTGTCTTTCTCACCCTCTAGGTCCATTCATGTTGTCACAAATGGCAAGATTTCATTCTTTTTTATGGCTGAGTAATATTCCATTGTATATAGGTAAAGTTTTTTTTAACTACTCAAAAGAAGCTATAATAATTAAATAAAAATTTTATTGATAATCTAAAAACACCCTCTGTCATTTCTTGATTTTTTACACGACAGTAAATAAAAAGGACATTGTTAAACAGTATAGTGGGTGAATAATCTTTTGAAATTCTGAAACTATAGTCTGTCCAATTTCAGAACATTCAGAACTATCTTAATTGGAAGCTGCAACTAAGATGAAATTCTTTAACATTAGAGAAATACATACCCTATCTTGTGTATAAAATACAATATGTATGTAATGTTACATGTAATATATAATGATATATTTACTCTATCTTCTCTATATTACTGCTGGCTTTGTTTTTATGCAATTAACAAATCCCAAGTCATTGGTATAAAAGCATAAAATAACTAGTAAAAGAATTAGTCAAAAATGAATGTTCCCATAATATCTTAAAACTTTTACTTAGCAAAATTTACTTATATTTAATATCAAAAGTTTACATACCTGACCTTCCAAAAACTATATCCCAAGGAGAACTAATGGGCTGCTCTTCTCCTTTAGCTCCACCTTCTTTATCTGTACCTTGAATTCCAATGCCAGCTACAGTGCTCACCATCTCAGCTTCTAGGTCAATCTATAGACATTAATACAGGTTTTATGCAATGCATCTATTTCCCGTAGAACATACAGAAAACATGTACTTTATTTACAGAATGTGTGAACTTATTATATGTTAATTAATAAAACTGAGTGGTTTTTAGTGTGTAAAAAAAAAACCATGTGCAACATACTTAAAAAAAAAAAAAGCTTAAAAAAAAGGCTAATCAAGTACATGGTGACCTTGTTATTGAAATGCATAAAACTCAGTCCTTTTCATTTCTTCATCCGTCCATTCCCCCACTTTCCTCTTACTCCCCTCCCTCATCATGCCTCTACCAGAACTGCTGTTGATCTCATCTCAACTATAAAATATTTTAAAAGGTGAAATTTGAAAATTTAAAGCAGAATCAAGGAAAACACTTGCTTCTTAAATTAAATGTATGTATTTCAATTATGCTTGGCTAGTAACTGACACATATGGAGCTTAATATGTGGTAAGAACTAATCCAAGTATCATCCATCCATCCATCCACCCATCTTAATAACCCTATGACTGTGATTTTGATTACTTTAGAGGAAACTGAGGCACAGATCATTCAGTAAGATCCCAGGATCCCACAGCTAGTAAGTCAAGGATCTTGGATTTGAACCAGTTCTAGCTCTACTATGTTATATAGCCTCTGCTTCATAAACCAAAAAATCAATGCATTCTACTGAAAAAAGATGCTCCGGTTTCATCTCCTGAGACACTTTCAACATTTTATCATGAAAATTTTCAAACACAGAGAAAGCTGAAAGAATATTGCACCAAACATCCATATATCAACAGTTCACTGACTTGCTTTACCACATATCTCATCCAGCTATCAATCCTTCAATTCATTTACATTTTCTGATGCATTTCAAAGTAAATCATAAACATTAGTACACTGTCCCTAAATATTTCAGTAGGCTTGTCATTAACTAGAGTTCCATATTTTTTCAGATCTCCTTTTTCCTTTTTTGAGGCAAAACTTACAATGAAATGCACAAATCTTAAGTGTATCACCTGATAAATTCTCAAAAATGCATAAACCTGTGTGGCCCCAACTTATATACAGAATGTTACCTTCACTCCAGAAAGTTCCCTCATACCTCCTTCCAGTCATTCTTGACCCCAGTGGCAAACAGTGTTAATTTTTTATTTCCATCACAGATTAGTTGTAACTCTTCTAGGATCTCAGATAAATGGAGTCATACAGTAATGAACTCTTTTGTGTGAGGCTTCTTTCATTTAACATGTTTGAGATTTATTCATGTTCCTTTTTATTGCTGAGCAGTATTCCATATAAGGAATACATCACAGTTCATTTACATATTTTCTTACTGACAGACAGCTGGGCTATTTCCAGTTTGGGGGCCTTCAAATAGAGTTGCTATTAATATTCTTGTATAAGCCTTTTTGTGGACATGCTTTCACTTCTCTTGGGTATACACAGAGGACTGTAACTGCTATGTTATAGGGAAAGTATATGATTAGTTTGATTAAAAAACTCCCAAAAGGTTTTCTCCAGTGCTCTATCATTTTCTATTCCCACCAATGATGTATGAGAGTTCAAACTGCTCCACATCCTTGCCAGCCTATGGTATTGTCAGTCTTCTTAATTTTAACCATTATACTGGATATACAGTGGTATTTCATTGTGGTTTGAACGTACATTTCCTTCTCAGCTCATGATGTTGATCACTTTTCTATGTGCTTGTGGTCATTCTTATATCTTCTTTTGAAAAATATTCAAATCTTTGGCTCATTTTTCATTGGTTTGCCTTCTCATTTTTCAGTTGTAGAAGCCTTTATATTTCATGGATACTAATCCCCTACATAGATGTGTTTTTGTGAATTTTTGTGACTATTTTCTGACAGCCTGTGGCTTTTCACTTTAACAGTGAAGTTTAATAGAAGTTTTACATTTAGATAAATTTGAATTTATAGTTTTTTTCTTTTATGATTATTATTTCTGTGTCCTGTCTTTGAGAAACCTTTGCCTACATGCAAGTCACAAGGATATTCTCATGTTTTCTTGTAAAAGCTTCATAGTTTTAGCATTTACATTTAGGTCTGTGATGCATCTTGAATTGATGTTTGTATATGGTGTGTGAAGTAGGTGTCATATTTATTTTTTCCCCATGTTGGTATTTAGTTGTTCAAGCACAATGTGCAGAAATGACTTTCCTTTCTCCCCTGATTGATTTCATGCTTTTTAGAAAATCAAGTGACATGTATACACTGATGTGTATACAATTGATGACTGATAAGAATCTGCAGTACAAACAAACAAACAAACAAAAAAACAACTAATACTAAACTTTCTTTGGGTTATTTGTATGGAAATATGTTAATATAAATGTTTCAGACATTACATGAAATTTCTAAAAATCTTATATGTTCTGGTATAATGTTATAAGTCATAATTCTAGTTATTACTTTAAAACGTATATCTCAGAAATAACTAAATTTCCTTGTCAATTGCATTATTATGAACTTTCATCGAATCTTTAAGCGCGGTCATTTTTAAGTCTTGTCATTTACAGACAGTTCTGGCTGTACTCTGAGGCTTTTGCAAAAATGTTCCTATAAAAGGGTTTCATCTTCAAGGAATTCATGGAAAAGACTCTGACAAGTACAGGTCTCTGGTAACTGACTATACTGCTGAACTGAGTGAATAAGCATTTTCAGAGCTCTAACGGAAAACTGATGAATTCATAAAAGTGTTAACAAAAGATCAAGATGAAAAAAATTAATTACATGGACTGAGTGAACTGATGAGGATGATTATAATTTTTGTGACTTTCTGTTTGAATAAAAAGAAGAAAAAATCCCACAAGGACTCAGAGGCAAAAAATATACCAATCAATTTTCACTGGAAAGTAAAGGAGCCGTTACAGTGGAGAATTACTGGACTGAATGTCAATATTATGACATAGTATGAGTGTGTTTCGTGTTTGGTAATTGCAATCATTGTTGCTTTTGTTGCGGTCATCCATTTACCATGCTTGGTGTCAGTTTATTTATCTCTTGTAAAAATAAAATACAGTGAGTGTGTGTGTGTGTGTGTGAAAAAAGGAGTTTTCAGTTAACTGATAGTCATGCTCTATAGAAATAGTATTTTAGAAGCAATATTCTGATTACCACTTATCCAGGTGATTGATTAACATATACCTCAAGGAAAAGAAATCCTAGTATGGAGTTCTCTTTCAGTAAGTGCACATTTCTTAAGATGACTCCCATGAATACTGACACCCATAGACTGAAATTCATTTTTTTTCACTTTTCTCCCAAACCCACGTCACCAAAATTCCAAGCTATTACCTTAGAGCTTCTTGTAAAAAAAAAAAAAAAAAAAAGAAAGAAAATCAAGTAACTGCACAGGTGTAAGGTTACTTCTAGGTGCTGCATTCTTTTTTACTGATCTATATATCTATCCTTATGAAAGTATGACATTGTCTTGATTATACATAGTACAGCATGAGTATATAGCATAGCATTATAGCAAATCTTGACATCAGGTAGTGTAAATCTTTCAACTTTGTTCTTTTTCAATATTGTTTTAGATATAATAATCCTTTGCTTGCATTTCCACATAAATTTTGGAACCCATTTGTTAATATCTACCAAAAAAGCCTGATGGCGTTTTAATTGGGATGGCACTGAATCTATAGATCAATTTAGAGCAAACTGAATTTTAATACTGAGTTTTTCAATCCAATATTAATTTTTGTCAGCAATTTTTATAGTTTGAAGTATACAGGGCTTGTATATACTTCTAAAAACTTATTCTAAGTATTTTATTTTGGTTGCTAAGTAAATAGAATTTTAAAATTCCATTTCCAGTTGACTATTACTAGTATATAATAAATATAAAACAAATAAAAATAAAATAAAATAAAAATATAGTTGATCTTTATATACTGATTTTGTATTTTGCAACCTTTCTAAATTCACTTATTAGTTCAAGTAACTTTGTATAGATTTCTTAGAATTTTCTATGTACATGTCATGTCACTGACAAATAGTTTATTCTTCTTTCTTCTCATCCTCTATATCTTTTATTTCTCTTTCTTACCTTATTATAATGGCTAGTACTTCCAGTACAATGTTTAATAGGCATGGTAAGAGTGGGGATCCCTGCCTTTTCCCCCCTCTTGAAGGGAAAGTATTCAATACTTTGCATTAAGTGTAGCTGTAGGCTTTTTGCAGATGGCCTGATTTTATCATATTGAGGACATTGATTTCCATTTGAAGTTTACTAATTTTAACGTGATTAGGTATTAAATGTGTTCCAATGTTTTTCTGAATCTAGTGAAGCATCATCCTTTATTCTGTTACTATGGTGAATTACATTTATCACCAGATTTATTCTGGTGAAATCCTCTTGCATTATTTTTAGTAGCTGCTCTATAATATCCTGAAATTGTAAAGAATATTCATCAGTGTAACTTTATATTTTTACTGAACTCAAAATCTGCAAAGTATAATCTGCAAAAATACCATAGGCAGCTACAGATGGGCCCTTGAAATAGATCTTGATTTAAGAAATGTATCACAGAAACTGATAGGATAGTTTAAAAAATGCTCTTGGAAGAAGCCCTGGGCCCAGGTGATGTTACAAGGGAGTTTTAATAAATATTCAAAACCATTAATTCCTATGTTAGACAAATTATTCCAAAAAACAGAAAAAGAATGAAAACCAGCTCATTTGATGAGGTTAGTGTGACCTTGGTTCCAAAATCCGGTGAGAACAGTACAAGAAAATATAGAGCCATTTAATTTTAAAATATTAAATATAATTTTGGATAATCAAATCCAATTTGACTTTTTAAAAAATTCATGATTAGGTAAGGTTTATCCCAGGATTAAAAAGATGGTTCAACATCAAAAATATCTATTAATGTAATTCATCACATCAGAATACTAAGGGCAAAAAAATATACAATTATTTCCATAAATGTAGAAAATGCATTTAATAAAATCATATAATAACTATTAGTAACAAA